TTTAACATACTAATAGTTTTTTTTTTTTTTCAGATTTTTATACATTGATTATGAAGTAATGTGAGGTAAATTTTGTAATTTATACTTTTTATCTTCTTTTCTTTTTAAAATTCTTATCACTTAATATAAATTTTTTCTATTATTTTTTATAGAAACAGTAACTGATCTTTTAAATAATTAAACTTAATGCTATTTTTAATTTTATTTATGATTATCTATTACTTTTTATATTATTCTTAAAATTGTTTGATAAATATATTGTTAGGTAATTTGATAATTGTGTTTGTTTTGTTGATTTTTTATATATAATTAACAGAAAATAATATAAGATTTTTAATTCCAGATTTTGTTGATTTTTCAAAATTTTTTTTATTTTACTGGCAAGTATATTCGACAGCAATTTGCTGTCGAATATGGTATTCCAAAAAAAAAAAAACATATTCGACAGCTAATGGTTGTCGAATATAATTTCAAAAAAATAAAAAACATATTCGACAGCCAATGGTTGTCAATTAAACAGGTTTAATCGACAGCCAATGCCTGTCGAATATAAACTGCTACAATTATCAATCTGGCTACGAAATTCTGTCGATAATAATTATATTCGACAGTAAGTATCTGTTGATTACACCTGTATATTCGACAGAAAACAATTCTGTCGAATATACAGGTTATCGACTGCATTTTATATGAGATCTTTTTTTATCGAATATGTTTGTCGATTAAAGTATAATCGACAGAAATGTCTTTATATTCGACAAAAAATTCTGTCGAATATATTGTGTTTTCCAATAGTGGACTACGATGTTGTGGTGGTTGCAAGAACGGGGATTTACACAAATTCTAAGGGGATTTACACAAATTCTAAGGGGGCGAAACGCATTTTTTTTCATTGCGTGCAAAGTAATATAAAAAGTATATCATGTATAACATATAAAATAAATTCAACAATTAATTACATTATTAGCTTTACTAAAACCTCATTATATAAGTAACAAAAAACTAAAGAAATGCTTATCTCCAAAAATAATGTTCATCTCTACTAGACACTAGAACATTTCTTTCTGTGCCTTTCTTCTAAATACAATGAATCTAGAGCTTGATTTTCTTAGCGCTATCACTTGTTCATTTTATGTTTTATAGGTGGCTCAATGTATAGTATATGGAGACGTAACTTTAAATCTAATTTGTTTATGGGAGCAAGCTTTCCAATCCAAATCCTTAAGTCTTATGGTATTTGAGTTAATTGGTCAGGATTTCAATCCCTACTAACGCATTGAAAAATCTCTTTTTCTTAATTCTTCAAATTATAAACTGTTCAAATAAATAAATATATATATATATAATTTGTTTATGTTTCTATTATCATCCATGCCGTCACCACCATCTCCCATGCCTCCCTGCTTTGATGATTCAAGTAGGAAAAATATTAAATTAATAAATTATGATAAATAATTTTAAAAATTTTAAAAATTATAATTATTTAATTATTCAACAAAATTAATAATACACATTACGAAGAGGAAGAGAGAAACACTCAAATTCACATAAGAAGAAAAAGTTAACAAATGAACCTTTAACTGATAATGGAGGACATGGAAATTGTCACATGACTTTTTGTTAAGGTCACGCGAAAAAAGTATAATTGTTGTATTTATTTTAATTAATTTTATTAAATTATAGTTTTTTTAAATAATTAGTTGTGGTATTTAAAAATATTAATTTATAAATTTATTTTAATATATTAAATAATAAATATCAATTATTTTATTAACTAATATTTGTAATTATTAACTATTTTTAACAATTAAATAATATATTATTTCAATTGTACTTTCAGATTCAACTGGTTTGTCCCCAAAATTTAAGACGCTTGGGGGTAGTTGGTTGCGGTTTCGAACTCCACCAACACCTTGAAAAATCTTCATCCCCCAAATTGTAAATTGTTCAAAAAAAAAATATTGTATTACTTTAAACAAAAGGTTAAAATACCAATTAGTCTCCTAACCTTTAGATTTATACTAAAATTGTCCATCAACTTTAAAATATATCAAAATTATTCTTAAACTTTAATTTTTGAGATCAAAATAATCTTCAAACTTCAAAAATGATATCAATTTAATTCTTGAACTTTGAAAATAAGTACCAATGAATTCTT